ATTGGTGTTGCGACTGGAACGCAGTCTATACTCCGGCCTTCCCGGAATTAATTCCAAATAAGGAAAGTCGAACGTGTGTGATCTAAGCTTGTTGACATGTTTGTTTCTGCAGACGACGGCAACGTGCGTTTTTATTACCGCGGAGTAAACTGAATTCTAATTGGCTAATCAAATATAATGGACCAATAGTCAACAAGCTTAGATCACACACGTTCGACTTTCCTTATTTGGAATTAATTGAAGTCTACACGTCGCGCTGCCGAGATATATTTTAAAATGCTCTGACACTGGAATCCTACAAGACCAAGGAATGTTTCGTCAGTGGAAGATATAGTTTCACCTATAATCTCGCTAGTTGTTGAAAACTATTCTGGTCGATACTCATACTAAGAAAATATGATGAGTACTGCCAACAAGGAGTACTCATAGGGATCTTGCCGATACTCATACATAAAAAAATGATGAGTAAATACTCATCAACGCCAAAAATTATCTGGAGCACTGTAGACTACTTGGGCGTTTGCCACTAGACTACTTCGCCATTTTCTTTTCAGGAGCCCAACCCTGGCACCAGCACGGGGGGACCCCTGCCAACTGCTAGGAGGAAGATAAACGGCTGACACTTCTGATGCGGGCGGCCTTTAGTAGACCCCCAGAAAGAAAGGGCCTTCGTCGTGAGGGAAGGGTTACACCACGAAGATGGATACAAAATTGACCTGGGGTGGGCTCATCAGAAAATATCAAAAGTCATTAAAGGTTGAATGTTGTAATATATTGTTCAAGTCTGCCTCATCCGCAAGACTACACATATGTAAAAATCACATGCTACCTGATCGCAGCATTCGAGCGAACTCCAAGTTCGTATATGTACAACGGTGATACAAAGTAGATAATTATACATACGGTAGGTATGACATGCCAACGTACCGCTCTACCATTTCCGTGACGTCACGTCACGACAGTCGTGCCAATTTATAAATAACCTTTTTTTAATTTTTTAATTTTATAAAAAAAATCTTTTTAATTTTAACTTTTAACAGTTAAAACTATCGTTTTTTGGCAAAAGGCAGTTAGTTGACGAGGTCCGGGCCGATCTCGCGTGAAATCTCGTGTGGAATCTCGAATGGTAAATATAATAGAACAGCTGTATCCAAAGCGATCTCACGTGCAGAAGTGTGAAGCATGGGACCAGGAACGATGGAACCAGGGACGAACATGGTGTGACTTAGCTTCAAATGATTTATATATTATATTTGCCAAGGATAGAGAGGCCCGTCTATTTATAGCACACACACTGATCAGCTTAGTGTGACGGTCTATTTTCAGGTCATCATATTTCAAAAAGTATAATCTCCACAGACAAATAAAATATATGTGCTGTTTCCCATTGGATTTGTCTCTTATTCTGCGAAGTTGTATAAAAATCTGGTGCTTAATAACCGAGATATGCGTTAGTAAAGTACACCGATCGTGCAGTGCTGGGAGTGCGGACTTCGAATCTGCTGTGATGTACACCGGAGTGCAGACAATAGACTCGTCGCCTGAGGGTAAGTGTTGTATGAATGGCGCTGTTTGATTGGTTGGCGTGTCGAGGGTGTGCGTCTTTCAACCAATAAAATTACATGTTGCATATTGTGGTGACCTTGTGGTGTCTGAAATATTTTCCCGGGAAAATCGGCCTGGCGGTTTTGACGCAGTGAGGTAAAATCGTTCTAGCACAAAATCAAGAACTTCGATCGTGCTGGTGATTTCTCGGCAAGTTAATAGGACATATATCTCTATATTAGTATATGAATTGATGGTTTGGTTTGATAAACAACGCCGCGCCGATCTTACAAAGTTTGTCCAAATCGGTCCGTGGACGGAAAATGTCGGCATTGTTTTTGACTAGCCACTGAACTGTCTGTAGTGTATACACGCTGACGTCGCTGTTGGCCCTGTCATAACCTTCGATCATGTGTTGTACACCATGTCTACACGTCCATAAACTCTTAAAATAAGCAGTTTAATGTCTGTTGTTTACTTGTTATAACCGATGTCTAATAATTACGTTGCTATATGTGATTATTTTTTCGTTAAATATGCCCTTCTATCGCTGTTAATTTCACAAAATGTCGATCAATTTATCGGAGCGATTGACCATGTTTTACATGTAAATCGGGTCTAATTTGCGATAGTATGGGTTACAAACTCTTATAATATAAAGTTTAATGTCTGATTGGTGTCTGTCATTCACGATGTCCAATATTTTTATAGCTGTGTGTGGTTATTTTGGGGTTAAATTGAACGTTGACTGCCGATAAATTAATAGTAAAATGGCGTCTGTAACCTAATTTCGACGGTATCAATATTTCGATATTTGTTCTGTGCACTTCATTATTTTTGTAATACTCCTTACAAGTATAATACACGGTTGTTGAACCACCACGATATATTGACTATTGAATAGTAATTGATGTGACAAACATGAAGGTATGTTGATAAGTACTCATATTTATTGGGTTGCGCCACTCCCACCCACCCCATGATTGTTAAAATTAATGCATGCTTTATCCCACCACCCCGGGGACATGGCGAGTGGGTTGGGGGGCACATTTAAATGCCTTCGGGCTAGGGGAACCCCTGCCCAAATTTTCTGTAGGGTAAAAAACTTAGATTTTTTTAGACCTGGAGCTGGTGCTGAAAATAGTGTAAAGTCTATCCAACTCCTGCAATCATGGGGTCCCAATCATGTGGCCCCCAATAACCGGAATAAAAAGATTCAATGTACCACACACACACACACATATCTATTATATATACACACACACAAACAAACAACACTGTTTATAAACAGTTTAAAATCACTTAGATTCAGTTATTTGTGTTGGTCATATAGTTTGTTTTAAGTATGACTTTATGTTATTAATTAATAATGTGATTGTATTTGTGACATCACATTTAAGATGCATACATATTCTTCAGGCCATAATAAAAAAGTACTTTGTTTGCCCTTACCCGACCGACCCATCTAAAAGGATCCTACTCAAAAAAATTATTTGTATTTGTAGTCAAGTTCAACACGACTCAAAAAGTATATTAAATGATCATTCCCTGACGGCAAGTCGACGAAGCAAATTACATCGATGCAAGAAAACGGAAAACCCTCTACTAGTTTTCGCAATTTATATTGTGTGTGGCTAATACTGTATAATCCCACAAAAATTCACTACCATGGAAATTATACATTTTACATATTTTAAAACTTTATAGCAGGAAAAACATTTTTGTTTTATAAACAGGGTTGGAAATGGGCAAACAAAAATATTTTTAAGTATGGCCTCAATAACATTTGTTAGGTCTCCCCAATAGGGGACATAATGTTTTACTGCTTTCTGTCTGTCCGTCCGTCCGTCCGTCAAACTCTTGTACCCCCAACTCCTCCTAAACTACTGATCTGATTTACTTGAAACTTGGTGGATGGGTTCGATATCAAGTGAAGTTACGCATATCGTCATCACGTTCCATTCTGCACATATTAATGAGCTATACTGGCATCCGATTGGCTGACGCTTGTACACTCTTGTACCCGCAACTCCTCCTAATCTACTGATCTGATTTACTTGAAACTTGGTGGATGGGTTCGATATCAAGTGAAGTTACGCATATCGTCATCGCGTTCTATTTCGTGCTTATTAATGAGCTATACTGGCACCTGATTGTCCGACGCTTGTAAATACTGTAACTCGACCATTTCTTCACCCATTTTGATGAGGCTTGGCCAAATTGGGCACTGATGTTGAAGAGCTTACTTGAGGAGACATGTTTTTTCTCAAAAAAATTCTCAAAACTAAATTCTAGTTTAACTTAAGACAAGCATGTAGAAATGTTTCATTTCCAGTTAACCACTGAGCTTTATCTATAATTTTGAATAAATGTAACTTATTTTTGTTTTGTTTCAGGCCGTATCAGTGGACAACTCGGCGATCATGGATCCTGTCTTTGTAAACCTGAAACTGACGAAAGGAGTAAAATTTCAACCGCGGCTACAGGAGGAACCATCGTTCAGATTACAGTGCATATTTTCTTTGCAAACCTCCAAATTATATGATGTTTGTTTGTCGACAATCTTTGTCAATGGAGAGCGACTGACAGTTAATGATTGTCTTGAACTGTATTTGTCATCGATTGAATTGGAGAAAAACGCACATGTCATTCAAGAAAGATCTACCGGATGTTTGTACAGTAAAGCCCAGGATATATTCAGATGCTGGCTGCACAAGTTGGGCCAAGTTCCCAATGCCAGTGCATATGTACTCTTCAGCAATGTAAAGAACACTTATGTGAAAGAATACACCAGACTTGTCAAGAATTACAATGCAAGATTTTCAAGAAATGGTGCAGATGTGGTATACACAAAACTGCTTGAATTCCTTGGAAAGTCAGTGGTATATAGTACAAGGTCACGGAACAAGACAAGTGTTTCACCATCAGTAGTTATGCCGATACCGCCTACTAAGCCGCCCAGTTTGACAAAGTCCATTGTAAATGTGGATGTCTTGCCTGGTACTCGAAGTGGTCAAATTGCAGATCTCGGTACAATGTTGCAGACGTCGAAGAAACAAGCAGCACAGTTGCGACATCAAGTTTCGCGTCTGCAAGAGGAAAAAAATGTCACCGAGACCGTGCTTCAGGATCAGTCATCCAAACTCAACAAGCTCGAAGGTCTTGTTGGGGTACGACATCGTGACCTTATGTTGCAGAACAATGACCTTCAAACTGAATTGGAGATTTCACAAGGCAAATTAAAAATGACAAAGAAAGAGGTTAGGGCAAGAATTGATCGAAAAACTCATGGCGAAATTATAGCAAGCCTCAAAAGTGAAACTGCACACTGGAAAGGCATTTCACAGACATTAACCATTGAAACTGAAACAAGAGAAGAGCAAATAGAAACTCTTGAAAGTGAAGTTGCCCAGCTGTCACGAGAAAAGGGACGGTTAAGAGTTGCGGGCATTCGAAAGCAAAAGAAAATTGAAACTCTGAAATCAAAATTGGACAGTTGTGTTGAAAAATTCAGAGTAGATGAAGAGGCATCAACACTCTACTACAATGGTATTGTAGACAGGTTTACATTACAGGTTGAACAGAATGAAAGGAAAGAAGAGGAGATGACCCGACAGATGGAACAGTTGAAGCGACTGGAGACCAAGCAGGGTGGAAAATATAAGTCACAGATTCGTCTCCTATACTATGATCTACTTATCAAAGGTGTGTCAGCAAATATTATTCAAGGGGTAATCACAAGCGTTCTGGAAAATCTGACATCAGTGGAAATGGACAATTTGGACTTGCCATCCAGGAGTACTGCTCAACGCCTAGTCACCGAAGCAGGGGAGCTGGCCAAGATCCGGACGGCTTGCGAACTTGTCAGGGAAAAGGGTGACATTGGGCATCACAGTGATGGCACCACCAAATCACTTATACACTGGGGTAGTCACATTTTGAAAATGGAAATTGATGGCGAAGTAGAGGCATTCACACTGGCAGTCTGTCCAGTTCCAGGTGGTAAAGCTTCAGACACCGTAACGCAACTGCAAGAAGTGTTTCAGGACATCAGAGATCTGGCCAACATGATGGACTTGGAATTTAATGATGGTGACTTGAGTATCGGACGCATTTCAGCGAGAATGTCCGACAGAGCACCGAATGAAAAGTGTGTATCAAACATGATGGAAAGAGAAAAGGAGAACGTACTGCGCCAGTCAGATCCAGACACCTGGCATCAGTTGTCGGAGGAAGAAAGACAGCTACGAAGCAAGATAAGAAGATGGACCTGTGCATCACACAAAATTGACAATATGACGAATGCTATGACTGATGCCAGCGCAAGTCATATGCATAACCATGGCGATCATAGAACGATGGGCGGGGCCAAGAAACTCATTTACGAAGCCAACAAGTTGTTGTGCGAGCGAACAAAGAAAGAATACGGAAAAGGGCTTGAATTCAAATTGTTTGCTATGGAGGAAGGTATATATGACGATACAACGGCTGCCCACTTCAAACCAATCGTGGGCAGCAGGTATATCATATTTCTACTGAACAGCATCCCCACACTCCTGTCAAAAGACCTTGTGCTGCTGTACTTGGCCCATTTGAAAGATTCAAAGGAGAAAGTAGGATTAAACAGACTGGAGTCCAGTGTTCAAGCTGGATACATGGACCAGGACACAGTAATCGAACTAATTGCATTTGCGATTATGTTCTTCTATGTGTGTCAACCATTGTTGAGAAAAGCAAAAGGGGCACCCGATGCCCTTTACATGAACTGGTACTATAGAACCATTGTCCACAAACTGTCGCAGTATATGGACAACCCCGATGAGTTGTTGGATGGTGACGCTATGCTTTGGCCAGGTGCTGTGAAAGAGGATGACGTGTTCTTCACGCCAATGAAGCAAGTTCTGGAGATTGCAGCTCAGCATCGTGAGAAATTGTCTGCTCTCCTGCGAGTCATGACTGAAGTTGGACGAAACAAGCTCATACAGCATGCCAGTGAGCACCTGGATGTCGAACCCTCTGCTGCAGACCAGCAAGCGGCTGCCACACTGGCAACCGCCACAAATGACTGCGTCGAAAGCTGTTTCGGCATGCTAGACAGGGAGCAGCGATGGGCACCATCCAGAAACCCCATTAACACTAGTGCTCTAATAACGGCCAGAAAAGACAAACCTGTCCAGTATGTCAGAAAGCAGGAGCCGAATGTCCAAGAACTGATGGTGACGACAGCCAGAAAGAGTGCGGCACTAGTAAGACGAAAGAAAGGGACAAAACTAAACCAACAGCAGGAAATCTGGCGAAAAACTGCTGATGATAGGACCAAACGCGTAGCACAAAGGCAGGCTATGCGAGCCAAACGACAGCATGCGTTCGATGCAGTCGTTGATGATCTGAAGTCGGGGAAATTGGTACTTGATCCCGATCATGTCTGCCAACTGAAAGGCACTGAGCTTGTCAAGCAAATCAAAATGTGGAACACTTTGATCACCATGGGTGTGAAAGTGAATGAAGCAGCAAAACTGAAAGGTTTGAGCACTCAGAAGGTCCAGCTTAAAAAGGATGGTGTCAAGCATGTGGTCGAAGCAAACCGATCATTTAAGCTGTCTGATGTGCCACTGTTACATACCACAGGCACAGACGCTGAAGACATCGACAACAGTGGTTCAGGGCTCGCGACTGATCCCAGTGACAGTGATGGTGGTCATTCCTCGTCAGATGAGGAGTTGGAGGATGTTGTGTGTGAGGAACCCTTCAAATTCAAGCAAACTGGTGCGTGGGTTATAGTAGCGTTTGCAGGAGGTTCCTGGTATCCTGGGAATGTTTCTGAAATCACCGAAGGAGGTACCTCAGCTTTAGTTGACTATTTCCATCCTTGTTCGTCAAAGCTCCCAACGCCCAGTGGTACCTTGTTTCGACGGCCCAGCAAACCTGACCTGTTTGACACTGATAGTGCTAGTGTATTCCTGTGGGATGTCATCATGGTCATGGACCCGGTTTCCAACAGTTGTCGTCAGTACCGCCTATCAGTTGATATAGATTGTGTGAACAATCAATACCGAGCGTTTGCAGAGCAACACAACATTCCACAGTAGATGGTTGGTAGTGTATATACATTTACATGTATGTAGATGTGTGCTTTATTGAACCCATGATCATTATCTATGTACGTGACTAGTGGCTACTGTCCGTATCGACTACTTCGCCAGTTTTATTGTAATTAACAGCAAAGGTGTGTTAACTCTGACATCTGTGACTGTGTGAACAGCAAGGAGGCATGGCCATGTGACATGCCCGAGTGTTAACACGCCATTTTTGTGAATCATGGTCACTGGTGACGGTTATGACTCGTGATCTTCAGTTGACAGTTGAATTCATGACTGGCTTCTGAAAAGAGAACATTTGTAGATTGTGAATTATGAATTGTATTAACATAACCCTGTCTGCATGTGACAGGACATAGACACTAGTTATACATGTAGAAGACAAGTTGAAGACTGCCAGACAATAATGTCTAATGAAATGGTAGGTCAGCAAATTGTGTTGAATTTTTGAGTAGTGTTGTGCTGAAAATCGTCGCTCCGTGGGTCAAGAGCAGATTTCCTCGGACAATTACAAACTTTAGCATTTTCAAAGCTTGATAAAATGAAAATGGTGTAAGCAAATTGCTTCATCCTTTAAATATGTCTTAAATAAATTGGTGTAAAGACATCTACAAAGTTTCAGGCTTGTAGCTGCAATACTTTTTGAGTAGTGTTGTGATGAAAATCGTCACTCCTTGGGTCAAGAGCAGATTTCCTCGGACAATTACAAAATGTAGCATTTTCAAAACTTGATAAAATGAAAATGGTGTAAGCAAATTTCTTCATCCTTTGAATATGTCTTTAGTAAATTGGTGTAAAGACAACTGCAAAGTTTCAAGCCTGTAGCGGTAGTACTTTTTGAGTAGTGTTGTGATGAAAATCGTCACTCCTTGGGTCAAGAGCAGATTTCCTCGGACAATTACAAAATATAGCATTTTCAAAACTTGATAAAATGAAAATGGTGTAAGCAAATTGCTTCATCCTTCGAACATGCCTTTAGTAAATTGGTGTAAAAACACCTACAAAGTTTTCAGACTGTAGCTATAAAACATTTTGAGTATTGTTGCGATGAAAATCTCTGTTTCACAAAAATTGCCATATTCATCTTTGACCCCAAAATATGACAAATCATGATTTTTTCAACATTTAGAGTATCTGAACAGCAAACAATTGATTTTTCATCATGTTATCATGCTACCAACATTTTAAAACACACAGAGTGAATTTCAGAAGAGTTTATCACAAATGTGGCAGATACACATTTTTTATGCCCGAAAAGTAGCCAGAATTGTAAAAAATGTCATTTTCATGACTTCAAAATTTCAAAAGTTGTTGAGCTACAGTCTTGAGGTTTTGTATATTACTTTAAAAAAATGTTATGGAAACATGTGCTTAAGATATATAGCATTACTCTTTAATTTTAATTTTTATTGAGTACTGAAATTGCTACTACAGGCCAATATGCGTTTGCGTCAAATTGACTGGAGAAGCAATTTTGGATAAACTTTAAAAAAAAAGTAGTTAAGATACAGTTCTGATTCTTTGCACACACAATATCTAAGGCATGTGGACTATAAATACAGAATTACAGGTGATTTGCTGTCTTACTTTTAATTTTATGATATCCCAAACTTGCTCCATAAACTAAATTTGGCTATAGCCATGGGCCTCTCTACAGATGGGACATATACACACCAAATTTATCTAGAAATAGCTGCATTGCAGCAAGTTTGAATGACACCCAACGAGTGCCACATGCCTTTTTAGGTTTTACTGATCCAGTGTCAAATTCAAACATGTCTTTCATTGTAGCGGACCGTGAGGTTCGCCAGGGGTTGTAGTGACCGTAGCATAGTTCGCGTTGGGAGTAGTAAATGAGAATGAAGAGTGTTCTGGTTGTTACTTAATTTATTTCCCTTGTGATACACTCGATCAGTGAGGTTGTGAGCTCCAGTGACCAGAGTTAAACCACAGCCACAGGAAGGGTGGTGTCCATTGGAGTATCGGCTGTCACAAAATGATCAGAACAAATAGTGGAGGATTTTGACGGACTCCAGTGCGTACCATTTACATTTACTCGTTTAATGGCAGTCAGCCACTTATCACGCCTCTCTGGACTCTTATGTCGTTTTGGCAGCTCAAAAAAAAGATCTCTTTATATCTGTGCAGTATATATGATTGTGACAACCTACTACTACACAACTTTTCGGCATATGCACAAGGAAATTAATATGCTTTAGGTTTGCAAATCGGGTATTGCGTGTGTAAGCTCACGGAGACAGGCTGTTCCTACTTTAATCTATACTATATTTAAATGCACGAAAGCAGGCATTTAAAAAACATCGTTACGACCTTTACACGGCAATACAATGCTAAGCTACAGTGAGGGTGGCTCCGTCTACCACAAACAAACACGGCCGACGGAGAAAGCCAACAGTCACATCGTGAGCTGTCAAACAGGCTTGAAATGGGTTGTGGGTCGTTACACCGGCCCCGATGACATCCTGATGTCATCTACCAACTGGTAACGACTCGATGGTTAATTGAGTGGCTAATCTAGCCTGACATCAAGCACGGGAGAGCTCAAAGGTTGACTTAGCCTAGTTGGGCCTCCAGGAGGCAGAGCTTGTCTACGGGGCGAGTGTAGACTCCTGACTGAGTCCTCACCTCCGCAGACCGAACGAGTCCATCCTTTCCTGGGAATGGTTGGGTAACGAGACCCAGCGGCCACTGACCGCGGGGGGAGTTCTCATACCTCTCTGATTCGCAATGAAGGTGAGAGCACAACAGGCTCACTAATATCATCAAAATTATTCATTATGGACGCTTAAAGTCAACGATTTGTGCTCTAAAATCGGCCTCAACGTAATGTCAAGCGAGCGAAGGCGCTGCCATGTTGGATGACGTAGGCTAAGTCTGATGCACTGATTGGTCTGAGATGGAGTTATCGGCTTTTGCTAAAAAACGAGCATGGTGCATGTCGGCTTATGCAGTAAAACGTTATATTCAACTGAGAAATGCGAAGGATATAGCGGTATTTGCGAAGAAATAGATTTTACCTTCAGATGAAGATTGGTGTAAGCTATTTTGTGGTACACTTAAGTCAATATTTTCGGCAATGGCGTTTATCGGTTTTTGTGCCTGAACTCTTCATATGTTGATGACGTAACCATATGTGTAACAATAATGCAAGTATATCGGGAGTGAAGCAATGATGAAGATATAAATATGAATATAGAATATCAATATATCGCTATAGAATGTAATGTATGTTAAAGATATAGAAATGTTAAGAAATGCAAGTTTATTATTGTATGAACACAAGCATGTGTGCAATATGTAACCAATGTAAAATGCCGAAATATTGTAAAACGAGTGGAACATGCATATAGGTGTAAGAACTATATATAATCTTGTCTTGCTATATATGTATTAATATATACCAATGTAAGCATAGATGTACAAGTAATGGAACTGTATGCAGACTGAGGAAAGAACATATCAAGAAACAAATGCAGACATACATAATATATATATATACTGTAGTACATATATATATAGAAATTTAAGTGTTCTGAAATAGAAGTATAGAAAACACATGCAGATATTGGCGGCGTATATATGTCGTATAATGTTAAACATAGAAGAATATAAATCAACGGAAGAGTAGAGAGCAGCGTGTGAGATGTTACGAAGGCGCGCCGAGCGACACACACACCTGGAAGAATTAGCGTGGGTTTTATCAGATGTTGCTTGTCTATATACGGCGTTGGCTATGACCACTGTATTCCCCCCTTGACGCTACACTGGCCTCTCGGTTTAGTTACTCGATGAGTAATCGACGTGGGAGCGAGCACCAGTCTAACCCTTACGCGCGCCCAGCGACACAGATGTGTGCAGCAAGCATTGCTGGAAGAGGGGGCGGGGGCGAATTGACATGCACATGACCACATGGCCGCGAGAGGGCAGTAGGCAACAGTGAACAGCAATGGCGGACTGTTTGTGATTTCATTTATGAGTTTCCGAAAAAGCGAGGAATATCAACGGATTTCGAAAGAGGAAGTAGTATGAGTGCGTAAATGCAGCGCGCAAATACGCAGATAGATTTGAGGGCCGTAGCACAGGAACATCACAGGAAATTCTCGCGCGTAGCAATGGTGCAAAACTGTCGGAAACGGGCTAGTAGTGTCTGTTAAAGGCCGTTTTTCCCTCACTTTCTGTAAAGTAACATGTTTCTCGGTCGAAATTAACAAAGAACACCTTCAAGAACACCCCTGTCGATTTTAAAGGGGCTAACCCTTCTTTAAGCGGCAGAGCGTCTGGAACAGCCTCTTTGCATTCAAGACGAAGGGAGAGGCGAATCCGAGGGGATCGTACACCGAGCTGGTGACGCTCAGGAGCCCCCTCTTAGTATTAGGCTTCTCCTGCACGTGAACATCAAACGAGAACTCGTCCGAGTCCACTCTCCACGTGTTACCCAGAACACGTTCAGAGGGCAGTTCGTCTAGGTCGAGATCGAGAGAGGCAACCGTCTTGGCCCGTTCGATAACCGGAACTGACTGCATGACCGAGCGAGAGTTGCTCAGCCACTTGGTCAGCCGGAACCCACCCAAGGAGAGCAGGTCTCGAAGTTGGGAAAACCAGCCGGATAGCGGCACCCTCGTCAGCCACAGACTTCAGGCAGTCGTCGACGTAAAAATTCTTCTCAGCGGTCGCAATAGTTTCCGGGTCAAATTTGTCGCTGTTGTCGTGCGCTGTACGCCTCAGTGCAAAGCTCGCACAGCTAGGCGACCAGACACCACCGAAGAGATGGCTGGTCATGCGGTAGGTGGTTGGAGGCTTGTCGATGTCGTCCTCCTCCCACCACAGAAACCGAAGGGCGTCTCGGTCAGCGGCGTGAACGCGGACCTGGTAAAACATTCCTTCAATGTCTGCCATAAGCGCTACATGCTCCTCCCGGAACCTCAGGAGCACCCCAATGAGCTTGTTGTTAAGGTCAGGTCCTTGATGCACTTGATCGTTTAGTGAGGTGCCTCGACACCTCGCCGCACAGTCGAACACTGGGCGGACCTTGTCCGGTTTCCGCGGGTTCACCACAGGATGGTGGGGGAGATACCACACATACCCGTCCTTACGGTCCACCTCAGCAGACGGGACGGGCTCGGCATACCCCTTGTCGATGCTATCTCGGATGCCGGCAATGTACCTTGTACGCAGGACCGGATCCTTAGCGAGCCGCCTGGCCAACGAGTGAAGACGGGTCTCGGCCCTGTGTCGGCTATCAGGTAGGTAAGGTGGTCGTGTCTTAAACGGTATGCCCATCGAGTAATGTGACCCGCTCTGAGAGATGGTATCCTCCCAGAGGGAGATCACCTTCCGGTCATTTACAGACATAGCCGTCTCGGTTGGGATGAATGGCTCATCCTGTCGCCAAAGCATCTCCACCTGCTGTTGTAGTTGGTCGTCGCGAGTCGTCGTCTGGCAGTGCGAGGAGACGTGTCGTGCTCCATCGCTTTGGCCAACCGGACCACGTATGGTCCAGCCGAGAGACGTGCGGACGGCGAACGGCTCGCCCTCCTTGCCACGGATCACCTCTTCAGGGATGTCCACATCTGGCAGGTCTCCCCCGATCAATAGTTGCACCTCAGATACGTTTATCTCAGGCAGGGATATGTCCTTCAGGTGCTCCCACATGGAGAGCTGCTCGTTGATGGCCAGAGATTCCAACCCAACGTTCAGACAAGGTCGGATCATCACCTCGTACATATTGTAGCGATTTTCCCCTGACAGGTTTTCAATCTGCAGGTTGACGAGTGAGACCTTCTCAGACTCCTCCTTCTTGTCGATGGTAGTCAGTCGAATAATGCCGTCAGATCGTCGGAGTCCGAGCGTGTCTGCCAGTCCCTCGGAGCACCAGCTGTGAGTCGACCCACTGTCCAGCAAGGCGTACGCCATGGTGGACCGCATACCGTCGACGCTCTTGGCGACGACAGGTACTATGGGAAGGGATATCCTCCCAGTCCTCGGACCGGTGGAGTTACAACCAACCTTCACGCTAAGGTTGGCAGTAGATGTGGGAGTCAGTGTAGGCGTCGGTGGTGCAGTCTCGGGTGGATGAATCCACGTGTTGTGCTTCTTCCCGCAGCCGGCAGCACTGCACACCCAAGGGCGTTGGCACTTCTGACTGTGATGCCCAGGCCCCAGACAATTGAAGCACCTGTCGTGATCAGTCAGAAACTTTGTGCGCAGTGGCACGGTCATGCTGCGGAAACCCGGACACTTGTTTAGATAATGGTCCTCAGTGCACTGTGGGCACTGAGGCATTCTTGATAGTGTCGTTGAGGTGGGAGTTGAAGTTGAGGCCGCCTTGACGCCTGTGCTGAAGTTCTGTCTTTGTCGAAGTTTAGCTTTGTTAGGGCTAGGCCTCGGAGCAGGAGCGAGCGTCCTCTCCTTAGAGCTGAGGAGGGAGCCAAAGACCGGGTCAGCCCTCTTTTTTGCTTCCCTCTCAATGAAGACGACCACATCCTGGAATGTAGGGCGCCTACCAGTCTCAGTTATACGCAGGTTCTGATTCTGCCACTTCCCTTTCATGTCACGAGGAAGTTTCTCCACGATGCTGAGCAGGCACCTGCTACCGCTAAGCTCGTCTAGAGATTTCATGGCCGTCAGGGTCTGGAGGCAGGCACGAAGGTCGTCCGCCATCTCCTGCAGCTGGTCGTCGTTGGTGACATTAGGCTTGTTGAGGACCTTCTGGATCCAAGCCTCGGACACGTGATGGTTGTTACCGAATTTGGCCCGAAGACACTTCTTAGCATCCTCGAACCCCTTGTCGTGGTCACTATCGTAGATAAAGTGCGCTATGGCACTGTTGGCCTTGCCCGTCGTTAACTCTAGCAGGCGGAGAAGTTTATCTCCGCTGCTCACGGTGGGTTTATCTACCGCATGGCTAAAGTGACGTTCGAATTGCCAGTACTTCAACGGATCCCCACTAAATACAGGAGGCCTTGAGGTGGGGAGGCGGATCATGTCCACTAGGGACTGACTTTGGTACCTTGATTGTTCAGCAAACTGCATGAATGATGATTGCTCAGACGAGAGTGTGTCACGAGCGATTCCCGCGGGTGTGAGACCCCGGTTGTCGTTAGTGTACCTCGGCGTCTCCGGGTAGTTGGGGACAGGTGTGGCGCCCACCGGGTTAAGAGTTGGGGTTCTAAGAGTTGGTTGGGGAGTTGAGTGGTAAACTCCAGCAGGTTCCCTACGTTCCAGGGTCTGCTTGAGGTTGCCGGTCTGAATGGTGAGCTCTGCCTTTCGCTGTACGGACTCGAGCTCATCCTGAAGGCCTTTCAGTTCGAGCTCTTGTTCGCGTATCAGCTGCTCTCTACGCCTAGCCTCTATCTTGAGCGCTCTTATTTCTAGCCGCTGTCGTTGTTGCTCTTGATATTCGTCAAGCGGTAGTCGTTCTGGTAGTTGTGGTTGTTGTTGTTGTTCTTCTTCTTGATCTTCGTCAAGCGGTAGCTGTGGTGGTGGTTGTTGTTGTTGTTGTTGTTGTTCTTCTTCTTCCACGTGATTGGCTTCCACCAACCAAGCGTTAATGCTCGTAATGAAGTCTTGGTAATTGGCCCGGGACCACCCGGTAGGTAGTCGACAGCCCTGTCGAATGCCACGCCAGGTTCCAATAGATTCACATAGGCATCGTGGGCCTCTGTCACTCGCTCGAGTGCTGCGCCCAGGTTGGGGAGGACGTCCTCGACTTCCTGTACGTCTCCAGCGTTCCTGAAGGCCCGGGTGATGGTCATCAGCCGCGTCAGTGCTGCCTTTGCGGCCTTGCGAGCGTTCTTAGCCTCATTGAGATCCATAATTGTAAAGTTCTTGTTCTTGTTCAGTAATTGTTCGTACTCGATCGTGTTTAACTGTAGCGGACCGTGAGGTTCGCCAGGGGTTGTAGTGACCGTAGCATAGTTCGCGTGGAGTAGTAAATGAGAATGAGAGAGTGTTCTGGTTGTTACTTAATTTGAATTTCCCTTGTGATACGACTCAATCAGTGAGGTTGTGAGCTCCAGTGACCAGAGTATAAACTAATAGAAACAAAAACAAAACCGAGATTTACAATCAGCGAATGGAAAGACAAGTATCGTTAATACGACAGGAAAATAGGTCGATCGTTAAATAGGTAAAATATTATATGCATATTGATGCTAACGAACGATGCGTTTAAAGCTAGTTTACGCCCTATAGGCTGAGAGGTTATACATGTACGTTCCTATATAAATTATATATACGCTATAAATTTACCATAAATTTCCACAACTAGCAGAAAATAGACTTAAATCAATAAAGGTAATTCCTCTAGATCACATAGATGTTACAATAACGCTCGATGGCGTGTAGATGACGAGATATTTAGATATTTAAATTACAGTAGGCACACAGGCCACAGGCACATTGCGGACCGTTTCCAATAATTAAAAATGATGGTTAATAAAATTAACAACTTGTCGTAGCTACTATACCAACCAGCAAATCAGTCGAATGTTTGAATTTGACCTAATAACCTTCACTTCAACACCGTTAAATACACGCGCTGCAACACATAGCCCGTCACGCCATGTGATGCACAAATACCAGTAGATAGGAGAAGGTGGGAAAGCGTAATTCACAGAATTCCGAACTTCCTCACTTTGTCGCAGCACTAGAGGAGAAATAAAACGAGTCCAAACGCCATGATATTGGCATCTGTGTGTAGCTGAATGGTCATTGTTCGAAATATACGTCTTGCAACTTGGATACCACACACTTTACCCAGAATTATATGAAAAATCCTGTTCGATTCTGGCCGGCCAATTTCCCATGAAGACATTTGTACGGTGACAAGTTAATGAGCTAATGCGGCGCATTGCCACTCTGGGAGGAGTTGCATTGCCGCCTTGCCCAAGCTCCAAAAACGAGCGGCTAATCGTATTTGGCACAAAGAGTGAGTCACATGGGCGACTATCGTTGATTGGGTCAAGGATAATAAGAGCAGTGAGGGATTTCCGGGCATGTTCGGTCCCGTGTACAAATCGGTCTTCATGGGGAAATTTGCTGGCAAATTCGAAACAGGATTTTTCATATAATTCTGGCGGGTAAAAGGTGTGGGTACCAAGTTGCAAGACGTATCTATGTTCGAACAAAGGACCATTCAGACTACACACCAGATGCCAAATATCATGGCGTTTTGACGTTTATTTCTCCTCTAGTGCGGCGACAAAAGTGAAGGCGTTCTTGGAATTATCTGTTGATCACGCTTTCTACACCTTCTCTATCTACGTGTATTGCTGCTATGCACAATGGCGTGTCGGGGGGGCTATGTGTTGCAAGCGCTGTATTTAACGGTGTTAGAAGTTGAAGTTATTAGGTCAAAATCAAACATTAGACGTAGTGCTGTACTGTAGTAGTAGGCTACTGACAAGTTGTATTGTATTAACCATCATTATTTATATTGAAACGGTCAAGTTTGCAGTGCACAGGCCATGCAACTTGATATAAAATATACAGGGCTAATATAGCGTACAAACTTACAGTGAAATCGGGCTATACATTAGATAGTTGTGACAAACGTACAGCGGGTATCAAAAATTGCCACTTACCAACGTTGGGAAGTCAAGTTTTCCGAATAGAAATTGGTTAATTTAGTCTAAACTAAGATAAATGTTGTTGACTTGACAAATGTCCGATTGCTCACACTCGCGTGGCTACCGTGGCTCCCTCTCTCGTTGACAGCGTGGGTTGTTCTAACCTTATAGTTTCGTAGTTTACACTTTAACAAGTTTTAGTTTAAATTAATTAAATAGACAGGTTGGGTCCTACTTTAATCTATACTATATTTAAATGCACGAAAGCAGGCATTTAAAAAACATCGTTACGACCTTTACACGGCATACAATGCTAAGCTACAGTGAGGGAGGCTCCGTCTACCACAAACAAACACGGCCGACGGAGAAGCAACAGTCACATCGTGAGCATGTCAAACAGGCTTGAAATGGGTTGGGGTCGTTACAATAATAATAATAATAATAATAATAATAATAATAATAATCAATAATAATAATAATTAGATGCGGACACGGCCACCCAGAAAGGCACCGGCTAATGAGTGATCCATTTTTAGAAATAATAATAAACAATCATTAACTTAGAGCACTCGGAAGAGCGCAGACCTCCGCAAGTGCAGTCTTATCAAATTCTCTCACTGTGAAAAATTTTAGTAATTAATTAATAATAATTTCTGACCTATCCTGAAAATTTAATTAATTAATTGGATCCGGATCACACCAAAATGTAATCAATTCTAAGTTAGCGCCCATTTCTGACCTATCCTGAAAATTTTATTAATTAAATTAAATTAATTGGATGTCCGGATCCACCAAAAATCTAATCAATTCTATGTTAGCCATTCGACCTATCCTAAAAAAAATTATGACAATAACGTCATAACCTTTTCAGTTAAGGCTGTACACAAAGAAACCATCGCACAAACCCACAAACCAACAAACAAACACACGCCGGTGAAAACATAACCTCCTGCCAACCCATTGGCGGAGGTAATAAGAGCCACATATATATTATATATATATATATATACATATATTATAATAGTATATTTACATTAATTATATCACATATAGATCTACCGATTAGGTATGTCTGGATCACCCGAAACGAGATCTTTTCGCTGGCTCTGTCGATTAGACACTCTCTCGTCCCGCAGACTTGTCGTTCGCGTTGATACTTTGTCCCCTGTCCGCACGGTCGGCTCCAGTTTATAAGCCTCGTGCTGACGCGATCACCATAGTAGCATTATCGAAAACATTCAATCATCTACGGGCGGGCAAATACTGGTAGAAACATTCCCAGCAGGTTCGCGGTATATTCCAACACACAGGTGTGTTCATTCCGTCACGTATCACGAACACAGCAGCAGCAGCAAAAGTTCGTTCAGGGGGGGGGAATCATCACTTATATCATCATCAGTCAGCAGGCAGCAGCAGCAGCAGCAAACAGGCAGCAGAAGGAACACCACCACCACCAGCAAGCAGCAGCAGCAGCAGCAGCCAGCAGCACGCAAACAGGCAGCAGAAAGCAAACACCACACCAGCAGGCAGGCAGCAGCAGCACGCAGTCTAACAGCAGGCAGAAGAAACACCACACCACCACGCAGCAGCAGGCAGCAAAGCCGACGCAAGTAGCAGTAGGCAGCAGCAGTAGCGTAGCAGCAGGCAGGCAAGGTAGCAGTAGTAGCAGTAGCAGCAACCGCAGCAGCGGCACCACCACCACCACCAGCAGCAGCAGCAAGGCAAGCAGCAGCAGTACAGTAGCAGCAGGCAGCAGTAGCAGCAGTAGCAGTATAGAGCAGTAGCAGCAAGTAAGCCAAGCAGCAGACGAAGGCCAGCAGTAGCAGTAGTGCCAGTAGCAGCAACAGCAGCAGGAGTAGGCAGCAGCAGTAGTATCATCAGTCATTATCACAGCAAGCAGCACAGCAGCGATCATCATCAGCGGAAAGCTAGTAGAAGTAGCAGCAGACAGGCACACACAACTATTAGCATCAGCCAGCAGCACGATGTCCCACACCCGCAGCCTCTGGCTTCGAGTCAACGCTCGCGTTAGGTATTCACGAGCAGGCTAGATCCTGATCTTATTATAAATTATGAATTTTCTCGCTGCATGCTGGTCGGCGCTTGGAATATTACTCCAGCGTATCGCTTATTTCCGTAGGTAATTTGTGTGTGTGTGTGTGTGTGGTGTGTGTGTGTGTGTGTGTGTGTGTGTTGTTGTGTGTTGTGTGTGTGTGTTGTGTGTGCTGTGTGTGTGTGTTCTGTGTGTGTGTGTCGTTTGATGTGTAGGTGTGTGTGTGTGGTGTGGTTGTGTGTGTGTGTGGTGTGTGTGTGTAGTCGTGTGGGTGGTATCGTGTCGTGGGTGTGTGTGGTTGGGGGGACATCGTGTGCGGCACCTGCGCAGTGTAGTATGTCTACATGTGTGTGCGTGCATGTGCATGTATGTATGCGTGTGTACGTGTGTGTGTGCGTGCCTGCGCATGTATGTATGCGTGTCTATGTGTGTGTGCGCACCTGCGCATGTATGTATGTGTGTCTACGTGTGTGTGCGCACCTGCGCATGTATGTATGCATGTCTACATGTGTGTGCGTGCATGCTCATGTATGTATGCGTGTCTACATGTGTGTGCGTGCATGCTCATGTATGTATGCATGTCTACGTGTGTGTGCGTGCATGGGCATGTATGTGTGCGTGTCTACGTGTGTGCGTGCATGCGGGTGTATGTATGCGTGTCTACGTGTGTGTGCGTGCATGCGCATGTATGTATGCGTGTCTACGTGTGTGTGCGTGCCTGGGCATGTATGTATGCGTGTCTACGTGTGTGTGCGTGCATGCGCATGTATGTATGTGTGTCTACGTGTGTGTGCGTGAATGCGCATGTATGTATGCGTGTCTACGTGTGTGTGTGCGTGCATGCGCATGTATGTATGCGTGTCTACGTGTGTATGCATTCATACGCACGTATGTATGTGTGTCTACGTGTGTGTGCGTGCCTGCGCATGTATGTATGCGTGTCTACGTGTGTGTGCGTGCCTGCGATTATATGTATGTGTGTCTACGTGTGTGTGCGTGCATGCAGATATATGCATGCGTGTCTACGTGTGTGTGCGTGCCTGCGCATGTATGTATGTGTGTCTACGTGTGTGTGCGCACCTGCGCATGTATGTATGTGTGTCTACACGTGTGTGCGTGCATGCGCGTTTATGTCAGCTCACGCGTGTGATAGTGCGTTTCTGCGTGCGGGCGTGCGTATTCTCGTGTGCGT